GTTTTGTTGTTTTCGTAGTTAGTTTTAGAGAATTTGTTGGCCTCGCTGCAAGGTGGTGCAGTTGGTTAGCACTGCTGCCTCGCAGCAAGAAGGTTGCCGGTTTACATCCCGGTGGGGGCACCGGGATCTTTCTGCGTGGACTTTGCATGTTCTCCCCGTGCAGTGTGGGTTTTCTCCAGGTTCTCCGGCTTCCTCATAAGTCCAAAAAAATGCTGAGGTTAATTGGTGATTTTAAATTGTCCATAGGTGTGAATGTGAGTGTGCTTGGTTGTCTGTCTCTAAGTGTGGCCCTGCGATAGATCTGTCCAGGGTGTCCCCTGTCTCCAGCTGAACTGAGTTTTTCCAGGTTCAGGTTACAGTTATCTTCTTGGGCTGGGACTGCCTCGTACAGTATAGTCAGAGGTTGGACTTGTATGCTACCAGGTTTATTTGGCCAGTTATTGTGACGTGAACAGGCGAACCACTGTTCACGTGGAAGTTCACTGAAGTGTAATGTGATGCTTGGATCGAATACAAATTGTGTGTGTGTTGTCCAAAAGGCATGTATCGAAGCAACTGATAGAGTACAGGAGTTTCTGCTGTCTCCCAGTTCTCACTGACCATGTTATCTTCAAGGATGTATATTGTGCTCAGTAGAAACATACAAAGCAGAATCATAGGCTCAGTGGAAAAATACAAAATGGCTAAAATGACAGGTTTTTGAGTGCAAGGAGCTGTCAAAGCAGGAAGATTCAAAGGATTTTCCACTTATGTTACTTTAACTATTTATCTGTGATGTGCTGTTGTTTGGGAAACTTAACTAAGTTCCAGCTTGAGCAGAGAGGACACAAGTATGTACACAAATTAAAAATGTAAACCATAAAACATGTATGTGAAGCCACCAGTTTTAATTTGACAAATGACTGGATCGTATTCCCGTCGCCTCCGTCTGTGCTTGTTTTGCACACTTGACTGTTTTCCTGCCTGGCAGTTAGCAAACATCTCTGGAGAGCTTCTTTGAAAAGAGGGAGAAACTCGATGCTGAGACAGAAGAAAAAGTAAATACATATTTAGCAATAAAAAGCTATTTTATATGTTTATGACACTTTTTTTAATAGAAAAAAAAAATATCATTTATCTTGTGTGCAATGACCACAGAAAGTTGTCTTGCTTGAAAAAGGTTGGGGACTGCTGCCTTATAAGATACATGCAACGCATGAATTTGACGCAATCACTTGCACAAAAATGTGGTTTGATCTGTATTTATCTATTTTAACGTACATATTCGTGCAAAAATTTGAAAACTACAGAGACTATATGCATAAATTTTAGTAGGCGCATAGTAAATGCACGATTATTGCATGGTGTGTGTATGTGACATTTTCAGTTAATAACGTTTTGTTGATTACCTCCGTCAAGGAGGTTATGTTTTAGCCAGCGTTTATCTGTTTGTTTGTTTGTTTGTTAGCAAGATAACTCGAAAAGTTATGCACAGGTTTTCATGGAATTTTCAGGAAATATTGATAATGGCACAATGAACAGATGACTACATTTTGGTGATGTTCTGCCTTACCATCTGGGTATTTTTTCATAAAACACTAAATGCTATTAGGTGTCACAGTCGCACAGTTGCTGTTTGTCCACTACATGGAGCTCTGGCTCCATTCAGTCCTTCAGTCCTCGCCGCTGTCTTCTCAGTAGTACACAAGAAAGCTACAGCCAGGCAGCATTTCAGGAGTGGGCTGAGCACAGCTGCTGATATCCATCCATCCATCCATTAATTATCTATACACCGCATGATCCTCACTTGGGTCGCGGGGGAGCTGGAGTCTATCCCAGCTGACTTAGGGCGAAGGCAGGAGACACCCTGGACAGGTCACCAGTCTATCACAGGGCTACACTTAGAGACAGACAACCAAGCACACTCACATTCACACCTACGG